GTGCAGACTTTTGGGTTTTGCTGTAAGCTTGAATTCCAGGGTTATTTGTGTTTTTGGAATGCTTCATTCAAAATTCTTAGAATTCAGTCCGATACAAGTGAAAATTCCTGTAGTGGTGTGGCTGGTTGGTTTGTTTGTGTGGTTTTTTTTAATTTTAGCTGCAGCAACTACTAATGCTTCGGAGTCATGCATAGAGAACAAAATGAGACTTCTACCATGCTCAAGGTATTTTGAGTCACAGGAATCTTGCACAACACCACTCCAAAACTGGAGTGCTCTTTGAGGACTTTCTTGTTCTGTTATTTGGGAAGGTTGTCTACTTGTCTTACTTGTCTACTTGCTGTGAGGTGGTCCCCTCCCTCCCCGCAGTCCAGTAGCAAGCACTTAACAATTTAATGTGCATCTTGCCAATCTTATGGTCCTTACAAGTCCTTACTACTAACTAGTCTTGATGTTTGTCCTGTGTCAGTGCTGTGCTAGTGTTGCCTGCCAATAACTTCATTTTTCGTGTCCTTGACTTGAGCAGCTCAAACATGCTGATTACAGTAGATGCGGGGTCTAGGTGAGCAGAACGTGAAATGTTACAGCCCTTTGGGTGTTTGTAATATGTGGTAGCAGCGTTTGTGTTCAAAAGATAGCTGATGTATTTTGCATTGAAGATCTGTTCTCCCTTCTAATCCTAGCGGACAGTCTTGCCTTGGTCAGAAAAAAAACATTCTTAATGTGTATTTTATGTGCCCTCAAAATCAATGCAGGAGGAAAAATGGATTGATTTTAAAATTAATATACCTTTCTTAAGCTGATGATTTTATGTGGTTGTCTAGAATAGCAGGGTGCTTAATCATTATCATTTAGTGGTTCCTCTCTATTCTGGAGTAGTCCTTTTTACTCAAGATGCTGAATTCTGAAACATTTTTTGTGGCATGCATTGGCTTTTTAGGTGCAGTTTAGAAAGAGCACTTTGTTATGCTCCAGAGGTAAAATACGTAGTTCATTCTTTCAGTCGGGCTCCAAGCTTCATGTGCTATCATTTTGATGTGGTCATCATGCTGTTGCTAGATGGCTAAGCAGTATTTCCTTTTGTATGGGCGGTAATGAGTTCCAAATCAATAGACTGCTCTCCATGGCCTTGCTCATAGAGACGTTGTAACTTGGTATAAGACAGCATTAACAATATGACTAATGCTTGCTTTAGTATTCATTTTAGACATTTGTTTATAGCCTTAAATAAGATTTGGTGTGGTAAAGGATGACTTTAATGTTACTCCCTAGTTGGCATCTCTGTTGGGATATTTAGGTCTTATTTAATTCTGTTAATTCTAAAAGAAAAAACTAAACCATTCTCCAGAAAGCTGAATTGTTTTAGTAATGATAGGATTCAAAAATTATTTTCTTTCCCATTTATGCAATCCTTCTTTTCAGTTGTATCTGATCATTCTTCACACTTTGGCCAAGAGCGTCTTTACTCCATTACTGAGGATCCTTTCAGTGAGGGCTTAGTGTTGACATCCATATGCTGAAATGAATTTGCTGTGATGCAGTTGTGCTTAGGCATCCGGCCACATTAGTCTGTTTTTAGTCTGTTTTGTGGGTTGTTTTGTTGCTGTTTTGTTTTTAAACCCACAAAACAAAACCCCCAAAACAACAAACCAACCCCAATCAAAACAAATGCACGAGTGCCCCTCCCCCAAAAAACTACAACAAAATCTTTGAAGCAATTCTCAGACTTTTGTGCAGACTTTTGGGTTTTGCTGTAAGCTTGAATTCCAGGGTTATTTGTGTTTTTGGAATGCTTCATTCAAAATTCTTAGAATTCAGTCCGATACAAGTGAAAATTCCTGTAGTGGTGTGGCTGGTTGGTTTGTTTGTGTGGTTTTTTTTTTTTTCTTAAATTTTTTTTAATGTATTTTGGAAAGTAGATTGTAGCTGCAGCAACTACTAATGCTTCGGAGTCATGCATAGAGAACAAAATGAGACTTCTACCATGCTCAAGGTATTTTGAGTCACAGGAATCTTGCACAACACCACTCCAAAACTGGAGTGCTCTTTGAGGACTTTCTTGTTCTGTTATTTGGGAAGGTTGTCTACTTGTCTTACTTGTCTACTTGCTGTGAGGTGGTCCCCTCCCTCCCCGCAGTCCAGTAGCAAGCACTTAACAATTTAATGTGCATCTTGCCAATCTTATGGTCCTTACAAGTCCTTACTACTAACTAGTCTTGATGTTTGTCCTGTGTCAGTGCTGTGCTAGTGTTGCCTGCCAATAACTTCATTTTTCGTGTCCTTGACTTGAGCAGCTCAAACATGCTGATTACAGTAGATGCGGGGTCTAGGTGAGCAGAACGTGAAATGTTACAGCCCTTTGGGTGTTTGTAATATGTGGTAGCAGCGTTTGTGTTCAAAAGATAGCTGATGTATTTTGCATTGAAGATCTGTTCTCCCTTCTAATCCTAGCGGACAGTCTTGCCTTGGTCAGAAAAAAAACATTCTTAATGTGTATTTTATGTGCCCTCAAAATCAATGCAGGAGGAAAAATGGATTGATTTTAAAATTAATATACCTTTCTTAAGCTGATGATTTTATGTGGTTGTCTAGAATAGCAGGGTGCTTAATCATTATCATTTAGTGGTTCCTCTCTATTCTGGAGTAGTCCTTTTTACTCAAGATGCTGAATTCTGAAACATTTTTTGTGGCATGCATTGGCTTTTTAGGTGCAGTTTAGAAAGAGCACTTTGTTATGCTCCAGAGGTAAAATACGTAGTTCATTCTTTCAGTCGGGCTCCAAGCTTCATGTGCTATCATTTTGATGTGGTCATCATGCTGTTGCTAGATGGCTAAGCAGTATTTCCTTTTGTATGGGCGGTAATGAGTTCCAAATCAATAGACTGCTCTCCATGGCCTTGCTCATAGAGACGTTGTAACTTGGTATAAGACAGCATTAACAATATGACTAATGCTTGCTTTAGTATTCATTTTAGACATTTGTTTATAGCCTTAAATAAGATTTGGTGTGGTACACTTAATTCAGACAGATCAGGATGAAGGTGAAAAGTCAAGAATAAAGTGTTTAGTAGCTTTCTGAAGACTTAAGGGTAAAGCACTAATAGTGGGTTTACCCACTAGAGTGAGGTTTTTTGTTTGTATTTTGTCTTTTAACTGTTCTAGGAAATTGTATCACTAGATAATAGCTGTTGCGGTCAGATATCAGAAGAGCTGGTTTTGCTTGTTCTGACATTTAATAAGACTTTTAAAATGTTTTTTTATTTTATTGTGCTGTGATAAAACGATGCTGGTGGCTGGTAGTCAAAATAGTGTATATATATGAGAAAATTGGGAAAAGGTGAGTGGACTAGAAAAGGGTTCCTAAGATAAACTAAAGCGTGCTAAACTACTATGGAGGTAATGCCTGGCTGTGTGTCAGGAGATGAGATTGTGTGGTGGGAGGGAGAAGAAAGGATGTGAAGTTCTTCCCCAGCCTGAGCTCCCTGTTTCACAGGAAGGCAGGGTCTTTCTGTTCAGGTTAGGCCGTGCAATGATGGATGATTATAAAATGGAAACAGGTGGGAAACTACCAGGAAATGGCAGAATTGTCTGTATACCTGTTACAATCTTAACTGGAAAATGTTGCTTTTCAGCTCAAGAGATCCTGGGGGGCGGGGGGGGGAGGGGGGGAGGAGGAGGAGGAGGGGCAAGAGTAGAATCTCCATAGGAGGAAATAAAGGACTTTTCAGAATTAAATTGCAGTCTCTGGTAGAGGAGAATGCAGTCAGGCAAAGATGAGGCAGTAAGGAGGAAGTACAGGGAAGGGAGCAATAGCTAACTTGAGGCAACATACAGATGAGAGATTTAATAAGCAATGCCATTAAACTAGTGTGGGCCAGCTCATTCTCTCAGATTTAGAGAGTACACATGACATAACAGATTTTAGAGCTATGATCAAATGCAGTGGCAAGAATATTGTTTGACCTTACTCCCTTCTCATTTGTATGTGTCTGTTTGCCAGGTGTTAAATGCCATGTCTTCTAAGTAGCATGAAAGACTATTTGGGCATTACGCATTGGCTAGTATGGTTGACTGGTCAGTTTGGATTCAGACATGCCTGACAAAGTACCTTGTTCCAGAGTTTACCATCTCTTTGCTCAAAGATGCTGATAACCATCAGAAGTTGGAAGAACTTACTTTAAGCCTGTCTTTTCCTTGACATATCCTCCCTGTACCCAAAGGAAAAGAACAGAATTTAAGAATTAATATTCATAGGCTACTGATAATATTTTTTTTTCATATGGTCAACCCTACATTTTTTCCATGTTGTATATAAGTAGCTACTCCAGTGGTGTTGCATCTAATTCAGTTGCTCAAGCCCAAGTGACTGAAGCCTGACTACAAATCTGTGTGTTAGCCTAGGGCCAGCTCCAGCAGACCCACACCACATTAACAGCCCTGATGTTTCTGAAAGCAGCGAGAACAGCACGGAGGGCAGGGAGCTGCTTTGTGTTAACAGCAGCCCCAGAATAATGGGGAGAGAGGAATCAAACCGAGGAAAGCACAGAACATGTGCTAATGCTAATTTTCTCATGGCAGGCCCAGCTACAGAAGGGGTGTGAACCGCTGTCTAACCAGTCTTCTGCTTTGGGAAGGCTAAATTCTTGAGGGTTTTTAAATATACTTTGTTTAGCCAATGACTCTGGCTAAGGAGTTGCTGCTTTAGTTTTTAGAGTTGGACCAGCTATATGGATGATGCTGTCTTTGGTATATGGATTATGTAGTTATGTGGAAAATAATAATAGGTAGTTATAACAGTGTATGTATTATGTGCCTTGTTAAAGTGTTGTATTAGGTTGTGAGACCATGTGATCTTAGAGAAGTCTAGTTCAGTGCTAGGCTCCAGTTTCCACATAGCAGACAAAATTGCATCTTTTTATTGACACAACAAACCATTATTAGTATCTTTTTTTAATCTCTTTCCTATAATTGCACATGCTAATAGATTAATGCCTTTCACTTTTAGGTGCTGGAGATCAGAATTTATTTACTTCCTTATATCCTACACTTTCTCAGCAGCTTCCTAGAGAACCCATGGAATGGAGGAGGTAAATTTAAATTTTATTCTGTGATACTATTTTAGTGTGTGTTTTTTAGACTTGGGAAAGTGTGTATTTGTTGTGCTCTGAGAAGCTCTTACCATAAATTGAGTTGAATATGGCGACTGACTTGAGGAAAGGACAACTTAGATAATCAAGGTAAATGTTGTTCAGGATGATCATTTCCACTCAGCTGTATTGAACTTCACTTAAAGAAAAATTCTAATAATGTTGTGTTTCTCTTTTGGGTTTTGTGGTTTGTGGGTTTGTCTTGGTGTGTGCTTTGATGTGCTTCAGTAGCCATGTTCTGAAAGTGTCATGCATTCCTTGTAATCAGAATATATGTAGAACCTATGTGGAATTAGATGTGCTTTCCTGCAAAACGTTTGGTATGGCACACTGTTTTCTGATTTGGAAAAAAATATAGTGGGAATTTTCTTACTTGGAATTTTTTACTTTTAGAGTTCTTATAGATATAGAAAATCTTTTAATGAAAGCTGAAAAGCTTCTAGCTCCTCTTCTTGCAAAAAGGAGCATCTATCTCATTTTCAAATTTTAGTTAACTTTGTATTACAAACTGTGGTAAGTGTAGTTTGTGAGTTCCCAATACCAGAGTATTTCAGTTTATTCCTCTTCCCCAAAATACATGCTCATTTTTGTATTCTGCTATGTATGTCTTGTCCACTAATTTTAGTTTTTAAACTTTGTAGGTCTTATGGCCGTGCTCCAAAGATGATTCATCTAGAATCTAACTTTGTTCAGTTTAAAGAGGAGCTACTACCCAAAGAGGGGAATAAGGCCCTTTTGACTTTTCCCTTTCTTCATATTTATTGGACAGAATGTTGTGTAAGTATTAGGAAAACATATGAAAAACTGAGTCCTCAGATTGGAAAATGAAATTGTTTTGACTTTCTACTTGTGCACTCTGGTATTTTTTATTTGCTTTTCATGCTTATTCGAACAATTAAGTCTACATGACATAACCATGCATACCCAATATTATTGGAAACAAATCTTTGTCAGCTTGAGTACTTTTTTACCATAAGCAGTATCTCTTTGTCATGTTGCTTGACACTAAGAGGACAGGCTTTAGAATAACCTATTTTCAATACTTTGTCACAAAAAAAAAGAAACCAGGATCTGACAGCACACTTGCTTCATAATACAGAAATGTGGCCAGAGTATTTCAGTTATGATCTACTCACAAGGTTAAATCTTAAGATACATATTTTTTCTTTAGTTCGTCTTCCATGTGTGTTGGGTATTAGTACATGTCAGCAATCTAAACTGGGCAGGATTTGGAATGTCTTAATCCTGTTTATCTACAGTTCACTGCTTTTTGGTTGGCCTCTGTTATGAACAAAGGTGACATCTGATCTGTGACCAATCAAAAGTATCCAGAACAGCCATAAGAGTTGTCTGTATTGATCTGTTTAAAACCAACTCACAAGCCAAAAAAGTGCCAAACACCGCTTCTGTGTGTCTTTGATTTTTATGAAAAAGCTTTTAAACAGATTAAATTTGAGCAGTGCTAGAAGGCACAAATATCACCCTTCTGTTACTATGTGAGAATAAAACAGTTCAGCTTTGTAAGTTCAAACATGTTTTTGTTGTAAAGTTCAAGAACTTAATTTGATTAGGATTAAATTATGTTTAAAAATCTTAATTTCAGTAATCTAAAGAATGATAATATACCAAATACTAACATGTATTTACTGTTAACCAAAATACTAGAAATAAATTAAATTAAAAGACCAAAACCTTACTATACCTCATTTGATTTCTTTCAGTAAGTGAACTTATTGTCACTAACTCTATTTGGTATGTCTTTCTGTTTGTCTTCTGTTGGAACAAAGTTTGCCTTTTGAAATTGTTCAGAATGTCTGTTTGATTCGATGATTCACCACTTCTCATCCCAGGACACGGAAGTGTACAAAACTACAGTCAAGGATGACATCACCAAGTGGCAGAATGTTCTCAAAGCGCACAACTCAGTGGACTGGCTAATTGTGGTAGTTGAGAGTGATGCCAAGAAAAAGAACAAAACAAATATTCTTCCCCGAACCTCTATAGTAGATAAAATAAGAAATGATTTCTGTAACAAACAAAGTGACAGGTAAGCATTCTTTTACTTGCAAACATTTTAACCTTTTGACTAGCGTGCTGATTTAAAAACTCAGCTCCCTATGTAACTGGTTCCTTGCTCATTTAAGGACTTCCCTTGATGTCCAGCATTCAAACTGATGGTACCGTAAGACCTCTGCTTTGAAGAGGACTGACACAAGGAATAAAGGGAAAAGTTCATTTTCAGTTCTTCCTGGATTCATGGTGGCTTTGAAATGTGTTTCAAAAAGCTTTCAAGTATCTCCTCCTGGCTAAGAGAGGTCTAAGGGAAACAGTGTGGTGATAACCAGTTTTTAGAACTTCAAGGTTTTTTGTTTGCTTAGGTGCTTGCAAAAATGTTAACAGAATTATAGGTAGTGGATTTGAGGTGAGAGGGGAATATGAAGCCAAAAGGGCTTATTTTTTTTATCATTGTACTTTCTGCCTTTGACTTAACACGTTTCTGTTGTGAGGTAGTTGACTTAAAGCCAGTTTCTTCAAATGTTTTTATTCTAAGGAAAATAATAACAAATATGCAAAACTCTTTCTGCTTTCATTAAAGTCAACAAAATGCACAAATCTTGGTATCTATTAAAGCTGATTTCAAATTGTCTTCCTTATTCTCAAACATTGCATTGAATCCATCATATATTACATTTTTTTTCTGTTAATCTTAAGAGTTAACTTCAAACAGGAGATTTTCCCCCTAAGAATGAGTGATGGGATAAACATCTGAAGCTGAAAAGAGTAGATGGAAGCACTCATTGTACCTTGGTATGAGGTGACAGTGACTGGCAGGTCAACGTGTTATAACACACTGTACATTGACAGCACTTTCTTTGTACCTAGACAGTGTTTGGTATCTTACAGGATTATTTGGGCAAATAGTTTGAACAGCTCTGATTCAGTTTGCTTTTGGTTTCTAACTGATGGATTGGCTTGATTTAATCATTTTGCCATAGGATAAGATGACTTTTCTAACTAGAAATGGTGTTTTACTTAGATGAGAGATTTTCCTGCCTTTAGAGATATTGGTAGTTTTTTGAATGTTACTAAATTGTGACAGAAAAAGTGAGGAAAGAAAATGCTCTAAAAAGGCTGACTTATTTGTGAATTAATGGGATCTGCTTATTTTCTGAGAAAAGCAGTGGAAGTTTTAGTGCATAGGATGTGTCAGAACAAATTGAGATACTGTAAGAATGTATGATGGAGGATTATTTTAAGTGACTTAGGAAAGGCTGACTGTATGTGATCTAATGGATCTTGATTTGTGTATTGCATAATCCTTGCCAGGAGTAACTATAATTACCATTCTGCTGATTTGTATTGCTAAGCGGACTTTTTTTTTTTCTTGGATAGCTACAGCATTACTTATGTTTAAGTAATTGGAATAATGTATCCATTATTTGCTTCAAAAAAAGTAAACCTTTATAGTACTCATTTTGTGGGAAACACTTAACTCTTCTCATAGACTATATCACAGACATAAACATACTTGGAAAAGATTTTAAAAAGCCACCAAAACTCAACCAAACAAACAAACAAAAAAAACCCCAAACCCACCCCCAGACAAACAAACATAACCCTCAACCGTGGTTTTTACCTCTGATCAGTGTTCAATAAAAACTAAATTTGTTCACTCTGAATCTGTCAGTTGTGCACAGTATTCAACTGCATTTCTATGTAAATTTTGTTTACCTCCTCAAAAATAATTTTTATCAATCTCTTTACAGATGTGTGGTACTTTCTGATCCTTTGAAAGACTCTTCCCGTTCTCAGGAATCTTGGAATGCCTTCCTGACCAAACTCAGGACGTTGCTTCTCATGTCTTTTACCAAAAACTTAGGCAAATTTGAAGACGACATGAGAACTTTGAGAGAGAAAAGGACCGAGCCAGGGTGGAGCTTCTGCGAGTATTTCATGGTCCAGGTAAGAGTCTCGTTTTATTGAAGAAAGTACTTGAGTCCGAGTTTTAATAATGTGGGTGGTTTTTGGTTTTGGTTTTTCTTTTTTTGGGGGTATAAAAGCTGTGTTTTTAGATCTTGTTTGCAGCAGGTTTGTGTTAACATTGTAATACAGTGCTATTACAGAAGCAGAATCTTTTCAAGCTTGTCAAAGTTTTATGAACCTCAAGTGAAGCAAATAAATTGCATCTAGAAAGTAGTTTAGTAGTTGCTCTTGAATTTTGGGTAAATGTCCCATTACAGTGCCTGGGCAAAGACACTCAAACTTGTAATTAATGTGAATGTTGCTATGCTTTCTTTGTTTAGATTATTTTCAGTATGTATGGAGGTGATTTTTTAAAAAGTGTCTGTTTTGAAGTAATCTGCATAGAGAATGCCTTGAGTTCAATTTTTTTTTTTAATATTTCTAAATATGTCTTTGTTTTAGCTGGTACAGAGAAACTCTTGTTTGATACAATTACAGGTCTTGATTCCTTTGGAATTTTCTGGTCCCTGTACAGTGCCACCCTACACGCCAATTCCATCTCATTTTCCTGTCTTCTTTGACTTCATGTGCTACCTCTTGCATATGATATATCTAATTCTCAGACCTTTTCTACTTGCTGCTTTGGCTGTCTTCTCTGTGTACAGTTGAACCTTTATTGATGCTGCAGTTGGTGCCTTCACAGTGTGAATAGAGGGGGAAATATTACTATTATGGGAGATGAGTCTTCAACAATTTTTTTTTTTTAAACTCAAACTTATTAATACACGTATGAACAATATCTTGTAATGAATCAGGATCTGGATACACAACAGAATTTACTGGCATAGCTGTGTGACTTAATCTTCTTTTGCAAACCTCCCTATGTTAGAAAGAAATGGTGCATCTGCTGCAATGGCAGGTTCTCCTGTATGTGTGAATGCTGGAAGGGGATGAACGTTGGAAGAAGTAGTTGCCGGAGCTCTATGGATGGATGGGGGTAGCCTGTAATACCAGATATGACTAACATGGGTAACATGCTCCTTGTATTGCTTGTGTGTCCAAAGGAAGAACTGGCCTTTGTCTTTGAGATGCTGCAGCAATTTGAGGATGCACTAGTGCAGTATGATGAACTGGATGCCTTGTTTTCCCAATATGTTGTCAACTTTGGGGCTGGTGGTAAGTGTCTTAAAATGTTAAAATAAATGTTAAGTGTCTTAATTTCAGAACAACCCAGTGCTTTCGGGTACCATGTGTGTACGTGCAAGAAAAGATGGTACATTGCAGTGAAAATGCGCTAGGCAGTTTGTGCTCTTGTTTTATGCCGTATGCAGTGTACATCAGTTATAGTCTATTAAAAAGTTTTGGTTTTCATCTCTGATGCTTAGCAAGTTTTAATGAAAAACCTGTGTTTTGCTCTTACTCAGTGATGGTTACAAACAGAGCCCTGAAACGCTGTAATTACGTAAGTATCGATCTGGCTGAGATACAGTTGCTGTTTCCACAGCTCACTGCTAAGTTATTCACTAAAGAGCTTCCTGGAGAAATGCATTCATTCTCAAACTACGTGAGACATTTGGTAATCACTACAAAACGGAATAGAAATATGCGCTTAATCTGCACTACAGAAGATTTAACTTTCTCTTCAAGAAAAATTACTGTGCAAGAAGTATCAAATAAATTTTAAACTGGTTTAATAAGCTCAAGGATATGTAGTTATATAACAGCTTTAATCAGGTATGCGTTATGAATCTGGTAAAAATATAGTGCAGGAGTAATTGCAGTGAAATACATTTGTCCTGACTAAACCTGATGCTATACCTGAAAGTGGGGGCACATCTATCCATAATGGCTGAATAAGAAATAGCGAAATAGATAAAGCTTGCTTGTTTTGAACTTCAGGTAGGCTTAATTGCCAAGAAATACATTACAGACTGATTGTCACTATACCAATAACAGTTATGCAATTAAGGCAAAATGCCTATGGGGTTTGAATGTTCTGAAATTGTTACCTACTTAGCTGTGGAAGTTCTGCTGTTTATTTGTTTTGTTTTTGAAGTTAAGACATTGAGTCATTTATCCATATGATAAACTTCAGAAAGAATAAGCCAGCTCACAGTCTCTGGAGGGAGGAAGAGGAGGCTTTGATAGCAGGCAGTGGTTGATTCTTGGATATTAACTTTATTTACTTAGATGGTGCAAACTGGCTGACATTTTTTTGCCAGCCAGTGAGGAGCTGGAATGGATTAATTCTCCGAAAACCAATTGACATGGAGAAGAGAGAGCTAATTCAGAATCAAGAAGCTACTTTACTGGACTTGCGTAGTTACCTATTTTCTCGCCAGTGCACGTTATTAATCTTCCTGCAGAGGCCATGGGAGGTTTCCCAGCGAGCATTGGAGCTTCTTCACAACTGTGTCCAAGAACTCAAGCTATTAGAAGTGAGTCAGTGTAATATATTCCATTACGTGAATGATTTTATCCAATGATGATCTAACAAGACTTTTGAAGCTAGATGTCGGTGACCAAAATACAGTAAGCATTGGCTGTGAGTTATCAAAATGTTGGTGTAATAACAGATTGTTACAGTGCTACAATTGAATGTTTCATCATGAGGATGTCTTTGGAAAGAAATTTGGAGACATCACATCTGAAAACCAAACCTGTATTTAGTTAAAGTATTCTAGTCTTCACCTGGAAAGTTAACTACTTAAGCTGGTAGGTTATTTGTCTGCTTCTTTCCTGGATTTGTTACCAGTCTCTTAAACTGTAGTTCCCCTCATTTAAATCTATAACAGCATTGTATTGAAGAAAATAAGGCAGAGTGGTGAATATGCTGATATGCAGGCCAGTAGTGTGTAACAAAAAGCAGTTTTGAACTAGAAACAGCATCTAGAGTAGGGCTTCCTACTGCCATGCAAGTTGGATGCTGCTTTGATTGCCTTTTGTGGTTCTTCCTTTGTGATTCCTTTTGGTGCCCAGTAATGTTCTGTGTTACGCACGTGCCTGGCTATCTCATCCAGTGATGGAGACAAGTGACAGCACTCAAAGCTTTTTGTCATGTTGCATGCCTCCGTGCTTTACTCCTCCTCCCTCCATATTTTAGTTTCTGCTTGTGTTTTTAATTCTCTAAGGATGCTTTATCAGGGATGTCATACACTGATTGTTCTCCATGTATGACCACAGACGTCTGTGAGTTCAAATACATCTTTAAGAACAGCGTAGTGTGCATGGGAATATTTCTGGATTTCACCTTGTGACTCATCCATGACCTCAATCCTGTGGGTGTCTGGTTCTCTGTTAGTTTTATCTGTGCTATTACAACAGGAGCTGCTAACTTTTGCCTGTCTGACATTGTGGTGGTGAGTTCCATAAGTTCCATCTGTTCATCTGCATTTAAAAAGAGAAAATCTGCTTCCGATGCATTGCTGACACCTTCCTGTATTCTAAAACTAACATGTAATTCCCATAGATAGTATGTTTTGTATGTGTGTTTTGTGGTTGTTCTTTCCTTTCCAAAAGAAATACATGCAGCCTTATAAGTCTTTGAAGGTACTTCCTGCAGTTCCCCTTTTGCTCCACCCCAAGTCTGTCCTGTGCCTCCAGTGTTTGGGGCTCTTCTCTGCACTCCCTTATTTCTGCTGTTTCTGTCATGATGTAGTGATCCAAACTGAATGCAGGTGTTCAGGCTGTGACACAGTGACACTTATTTGTGTATACCATGTAGTTATCCCTGTTGTGATCACTTTTCTTAGTACAGGCAAACCTCTTAAAGTGGCTTGACACCACTGAACACATAGCGGAAATCTGAACTACTCTGTTCTTGTGATCTTTTTCTTCCTGATAATTCTTTCAGAATTCAGTTCTCTATTTTTTTTTTTTTCAAACACATTGTCCTTGCATGTTGAGCTTTCCTATCACATTAGTCAATTACCTAGTTTATTATGGGTTTCAAGACTTTCATAGTCTTTCTAAAAGGAATATTTTTGCATTGTTTATGAACAGGATTTTGAGACACCATTATTGTGATTATATTCCATATCTTCAGTTATTCTCATCTTTATCTTGGTTCTTGAAATATTCTAGTATCAAACTCTCCTGTCTTCTCTATCGTGTCCTGATTAATAATCCCTTCTTGGTATTTTTTTTTTTCTGTGTGTGTTTTTTTTTTTGTTTATTTGACTGTTTTTTATCTCTATTCTTTAGTTAGTTGTCCATGACAGATGTCTTACCCTTTGATTAAAAAACTTGTTGTTGTAAAGGAAACTTAGACTAATTTTTTTTTTTTCCAAGTATTTTAATCTACTTCTAATATACTTCTAATTTCAGTCTCGGTTAGATCTGATGTCTCCTTAGGAAAGTAGGTGTATTTAGAGAAGTTTTTCCTGACTCTGCTTTCCTTAGGCTTAGTGTCCAAATTTTTGGAATTTTTCCAAGTACTAGTACCTGTTACTCCTCTTTTCCTTCTCTCATCTTGGTGAATGTATCAAATCTAGTTAATATAGTCACTGTTTAGTTGCTTAGCTGTCCTTGTTTCATGAACTAATGTTTATGAAGTATTCAGGAGGTAGTGAGAATTGGCCTGGGTTTTGTGTATTCGCAGAGTAAGCTCTTTCAAGAGGCTCTGCTACATTGTATCAAGAAAAGTATTTTGCTGAAGTATTTTCTCATCTGACTGATGTTTATTTCCCGGTTAATTTTATCTGTTCATCTTCAGGTCTCTGTTCCTCCTGGAGCTTTGGATTGTTGGGTATTTTTGAGTTGTTTGGAAGTCTTACAAAGAATAGAAGGCTGCTGTGATAGGGCTCAAATAGATGCAAATGTTTCCCACACGGTTGGCTTATGGAGCTATGCCACTGAGAAGGTGAGCAAATTATGTGTTGCAGTTGTGGTATTACAATTTTGAAGTAGACCATTTGTTTCTGTGGAACAGATTTCATGCTTTTTCATGTGAAATTTAATATGGGTTTCTGTGTCTTGTCTTGAGTCTGGTCTAGATGAGACATCTAGGTCATCCCGAGGCAAATAAGTAATAAAATTATGTAAAAAATTATGATTTAATTGATCTTGCCTACAAACCCTTTTGCAGCCCTGAAAATATTGATTTTTAAACAGTAGTGAGTAATTCACAGGTAGGGCTCAATAGCAACAGGTCTGTTGGATGAAAATAGGAAACACAGCTTAATGATTTTGGTCTTGCCCGGAATTTAAGGAAAACAAGTGAGTGTATGGATTACAAACAGTAAAACCTCATTGCTCATTTAAGAAAATAATCCCCTCAAAAATCCAAAACCCAAACAGCATAAGAAAATAAGTAAACAAGAAACAAAACAAACAAACAAACAAAAGAAGCTAATTAACCAAATTACTCTTCTTAGGAACTGATGGGGAAATAATGAGTTATATGCTAGGCTGTAATTAAGTGTGTGCATTTTTTACTCATACAACCATTCTGTGATCTTACAAAAGACATCACTTAAGTCCTCCTCACTTACCAAACAGATGATGATTTGACCCTTTTAATACAGAAGTGTTTCATATTTTATTAAGCAGAAACAAAGAAAAGACAGCATTATACAAAACCTTTGAAAAGTTTGGCCTTCTTTCTGATATGCCACATTATTTCAGGCTCTGGAATGGGCTGCCCAGGGAGGTGTTCGAGTCCTCATCCCTGGAGGTATTTAAAAGAAGGATAGATGGGGTGCTTAGGGACTTGGTTTAGTGGTGGGATGGCAGTGTTAGGTTAAAGGTTGGACTCGATCTCAAAGGTCTTTTCCAACCAAAGTGATTCTATGATTCTATAATTTGCAATTTTTCGGTTACTACCCCTTACCATACAGTAAAAGTTGTAAAGTGGCCATTTTGGTTTGGTTAAGCTCCTTCCCTAATTATGGGAGTGCCTTTTCAAGTTCTGCTTATTCGGTTTCTGTGAAAGAGTTGGTGTTCAAGGTTGCTAAAGATGACAAACTACTGAAATAGCACACTGTGATCTTTGTGGATGTTTTTGAAGACCAATGTAAACTCATCCTCTAGTTTACATAACCTGTAGAATACTTTGTATTTATTTTAATCATAGTTTGTTCATATTTCAGTGGACCTAGGGAATCCTCTAACTGACCCTAGGAGATCCTTGTCTTATTGCAAAAGCATAGAAAGACAATTTCACCTTGAAGAGTTACTGGTTTTTTTAAAAAAAAAAAAAATAATAAAAAGGGTGAGGGGGAGAGCAGAATAAAGTAAACAAAGAGTTGTTTAAAGTGGTGATGTGTGCGTCAGATTCTTCCCATGCTCCTTATGTGTTTCTGTGAAAGGTGTGTACCTGAGTTGGAAATGTTCCTCCTGTTCATAGCTCTTCTAACACAAAGGGTAAAGGGAAAAATTGTAGAGCAGTAAAGTGGAACAGACTGAAGGAAAGAAATTCAGCAACTAGTAACAAAATTATGTGGAATTTAAAATAAAAAAAAAGTTAATGGCCATCCCCATTTTATGTGGTGTAGAGTAATATGACAAGCTGAGACCTTTTTTCTTTTGCAGGCTTACCTTGGTAGTTGATTTTTTTCTAAATGAATTAACCAAATTACCAACAGAACTGAGCTTCTTTAAGACAGTATCCTCTGCTGACTTCTGGGTATCAAGCATACCAGCTGCTGTCTGGAAGGGGTTTTATGGTAGTTGTGTGGCACTGTTTTAACACCGTTAGCTATGCTAATCATCTTTTTCAAGAAGGTTTTCAACTGAATACAATACTCTGGCTTGTTTAATCAGTGTACTGGAGACTGCCTACATTTCTTGAGTATACAGTTTTCAAAAATACAGACACAGTTATTAGAAATTATCTTTGGCAATAACTGTCAAACATCTCAAGCTTTGTCCATGTTTATATGGAAAAACAGAAGGATTTATTCTGACTAGGTATTAAGCATGTAGGGGCGTGTCTGTATATGCATGTGTTCCAATGTTATTTGAGTCAGTAACTTGTATGCAGTATAATTCTTCATAAGATTAATTTCTACTGTGAGAGTAACAGTTACTTTTGAAAAGTTATTTACTTTCTTCCCATGAAGCAACTTTAATACAGACCTTATACGCAATATAATATGACAGCAGTGGAAATGTATTGTAGGAATGATGTAACAGAATAAAAGGAGTTTTATATTGATTTTGTAGCCTATTGAAAACAAGCATCTGGTTTCTATTATAGTTAAAATCTCTGGGTTATCTGTGTGGACTTGTGTCGGAGAAGGGACCCAATTCAGAAGACCTAAACAGGACTGTTGATCTGTTAGCAGGGTTGGGAGCAGAACGCCCTGAAACAGGTATTACCAGGAATGTACTCATTCTTTCTAATAACTGACATTGTCTTAAATACACAGCATATAAAATACATCAATAATAATAATTTCCAAGTATCCCTATGTATATATAAACATTGATAGAACTGTTATCTCTTACGAGTTCTTCTAACATGTCTAATACTTTAAACCACCAATGCATCTCCTACCATTGCAAGTATAAGTTTTTCCATTAATGCTCCAATTATCAGCAGTTAGGTAAATAGTCTTGAACAGTACTGGTTTTGAATAAAGTTTTTAATTTCTTTCAGACAAGTATTAAAAATGAAATTATTTGAAAAAGAAAAGGAGCATCCTTGGTCTGATGCAAATAGGTAACCTGCAAAGAGATAATTCGCAAAGATATTTCTGAAGGGAAGAAGCTTTCAGATGTTAAATATGCTAGGACAATCAGTATATTTGAAGCATCAGCTGACGGGCTGATGCTTCACTTGTTCTTGTGGGTATGATGATGTATTACTCTTAATTCCATACTATGGTGCCTGTTGTATTTATTTTAAATGAGGATTTTTTTCTTCTAGAAATATTGACACATATTTGGTCTGCCAAAGACTTCTAAATTGAGCAAGCTACTTCAGAAAAAAATCTTGATCTTGCTAACAATTTTCCTTTGAAGTACATTGTTTAAAGCAGTCAAGTATCTTTAAATTACAATATATTTCTGTCATGCTGATTTATAAATCCAGCAGTGGGGAGTTGTGAGAATATTACTTTTGGCATAATATGGTGTTAAAGTACAATTGTGTGTGTTTCTAGGTTGAATAAATGTTATGAAATACCATGTGGAGAAGTTAGTACAATTACTGTACCGCTGCTTGCCTTTACCCTGCTACCCTGAACATCATTCACGCATGCATGCACACAGAGTTGTGAAACAGCCTTTCTTGATCTTATTTTACAGCCTGGGGAAGAAACTCATGATCTGTCTCTAAGCGTTATTGATGTTTCCACATAAAATTAATTTTAAGTTTTCTCTCTAGTTTCTACTGAGGGGAAAAAAGGTGTGTGTGTGTGTGTGTTATTAAAATAGGAATGTAACTGTAAGTGACACCTCTTGTTTTGCTTTTTTCTAAAGCAAATGCATCGCAGAGCCCTTATAAGAAACTTAAAGAGGCCTTATCATCCGTAGAAGCTTTTGAAAAACACTACTTAGTAAGTATGAGTTCTGGTTATTTGTATTTGTCCTGCGTGTTTACATTACAGATTGAATAGGGCCAAAATTTTCAGACCTAAGAAGATAACATTGATAATGTGAATCTGTATTTCTGTATTTTGGTGTTGAAAGTTATTGCTTACACACTAAACACAACAAGGCTGATTTATTTTACAACTGGAACCCTGTATGGGCACAGAGTTTCAAATATTTGGATTAACTTTAATATTATGCAGTTATGAGTTGGAGGTTATTATTTGTAAATATGTATACTTAGTTACTAAAAAAGCCAATGTTATGGCTATCATATTCTGCTATCACAAATTCAGAATGAATCGAATCTTCCCCAGAAGAATATTGATGTGTGAATTCAGCTTCCTTTTGAATGGTTTAGACTTGCATCTTGCAATGGGTGTTACATGGTTTAAGTTATACTCTTAAACTTTTTATATAAACTGTGGGACATCTGTGGATCATAGGGTTGGAGCTGGCATAGATTGAAACATTAGAATTCACATTGTGCTTTAATATGCATGTTTATTTTATGACACCTCCCTTATTGAGGAGGCATTGTAATAATCTTCTGTGTTTTTTAATAAAAATATTAAATGTTGTTAAATAAAGCAAAAAAAACCCTGACTGTAACAAGAGTGTGTTTGTCTTTGGGGGTTTTGGTTTGGGATTTTTTTTCCCCTTAAGTAGTTTTCCTCTGAAATGTCTTACATTTGCAGTACTGCTGTTTAAAGTTTTCTTGGGAAAAGTTGGAGGAAAACTGAGCAATATTTGTTCTTTTTTTAATCTGAAAACGAGGCGGTACTTATTTTTACAAAGTTTTATTGAAAGAAAAAGTCTCAAATTTCATCTGAAGAGACTGTGAGACTGTCAAATTTTCTACAAGCATGTTGGCTTGTACCTTAAACTTGGGGGAACATAGCTTTTCATTTGTATGTGTAGCTGCTAAACCCCTCTGGTTATACTGATCTGTTAAGGAGTGACCACTTAATTTATTGTGGCATATTGTTGTGACTTCTTAAATAAAGAAGTGATTTTTTTCTAGGCTCCCTGTAAGAAACATCAAAAATGGCCTAAGAAAGGCTTTGGGAGGCCATTTTGTGTCATTTTCCTGCCCCATAGGAATGGATGCTTTCTGACAGATACTCTGCAAAATACGTAGGCACTCTGTTTTGAAGGGCAGAGTAGTTCTTAATAGACTAAGTGAAGGAGAATGAGCTTCTGTGGTAGGTTGCTGATAGTCAGAAGAGGCTGCAGGTTTGTAATACGATGTGAAATCTTTTTATGTATCTGGCCAGAGATTATTACATACTTGAGAAAAAAGCTTGGTGGTAGTATACAGTATGTGTTGTAACTGGTAATTTTGTGAGAAAGATTTGTCACTGTTATTACAAGCTTACGGCAAGGTGAGGAAGGTGACATGTAGACAGTGTGGGTGAATTGGGAATTAAGCTTAAAAATGTCTAAGAAACTTCAATTTGGGATTGCATAGCTTCAAGCAAAATTCCTGTAAGGCACTCTTGCAAAAATACTTATTCTGATTGCAACAGCGTTTTGCGTTTAATGCTATGTTTACATACTGGAAATTTTCATATACTTAATGGTACTATGTGCAGCTTTAGTGGAAGAATCACATACCACATTCTGTATGTAGTTGATTTGGTTTTGAAGTATTAGTTGTAAGTCTCTGGGGCAAGCTCTAGTACTGTTCTAAATACGTTATGCTGTGGTGTATCCTGGAATGATGCACTACACAGTCCCTCAATGATAATCTAATGGCATACAGTCACTGAGAAATGGGTGCTTCAAGAAAAGACAGGAGGATTCGAGTGTAAAGTAGTGCTTGAAACTGCACCTCATCTACTGTTTTTGTGGTTTTGTGTTGCCTTATCTAATTTTTAATAGACTTTTTTTCTGCTGCTACTTATAATGCAGATATGGGGTAATTGCCAGCTGTAGAAAAAGTAAAGATTGACCTGTTACAAACTGTTCTGTATTGTGTGCTGGGGGCAAGGGGGAATCTGAAAAGTGACTCATTCTGGTCATTTTGTTGTAGTAACTTAGTTAACTGGCTATGAGTTTGTGTGAAATACCATATAGCTACTAAAGTCTATAAAGCTTATAATAGTTTCTTTTCTTTTAAACAGGATCTGTCCCACGCCACCATTGAAATGTACACGAATATTGGGAGAATTCGCTCCGCTAAGCTTGTGGGAAAGGACTTGGCAGAGTTTTATATGTAAATGAATGTTTAAAATGTCTTAAATGCATTAGATTTTAAAAGTTTGAGTACAATCCTTGAAGAAAATACACTGTATTTAAAAAGGAATTTTAAAAAGTATTTTTTAAAATGTAAACATACCCTAAGTTTCAGGCTGTATTTCAGGAAAAAAAAAAAAGCACATCATCAATCTCTTTATATCAAACCCTAATTCTCACCTTATGATTTAGTGCTTTTGCCTTTAACTGTCATATGTTCTTTAGCTTGATCCTTTCTTCTCCTAGGGAGAAAAGGGCAGTAGGGCAGGTGGAGGAAAGAGATAACTTTGCGTTTACTATAGCCTGCTTTGTAACATGGCTTATGACTTGTTTCAAAGTTTATAGTTATCTTAACTACATTTGTGTATATATATATACACCTAAGAAAAGCCAGAGAACATGTTTTTTGGAGAGTAATCAGTTTCATATTTGAGGTGTTGATTGCAAGATGTTTGTTTCCCCCACTGTGAAACTTAGTGATTTTATTCCTAATTTCCAAATAATATTTTTTGTGTTTATCTCTGATGTTAAATTCCACTGAAGGAACCTCCTGCACTGGTTTTCTGTTTCTTTTTATTTTTCTCATTTAGAAGAATTTGGGAGTCCTAAGTGGGTTTTTTGGGAAAAGATGTTTGGGCGTGCTTTTCACCTGTGTTCACTAAAGCAGTCTGATCTAGCCACAACAGATTCTCCTAAATTAACTTAAATTTTCACCTGAGGGAATAAAGTTAGGTTTGAAGACAACCATGGAACTGCTGTGTAGTGATAAAATGATATTTTCATTGAAGCATTTTCCTGCTTTAAAATTGTTCAGTAAGCATATTTTTAGTCAACTGTCAGAAGCTTGGGATGGCTTTTGTCACATTTGTGGGAGGTAGCTTCACCTCACTTGCTCTGACTTGGGATAGAGCTGTGTATGAAGCCTTTCACTGACATGGTATATTTGCCCTAATTGCAGTTCCGCTTGCTTAAGTGAATCGCATAAAGGTAGGCCAATATGTTGATCTGTAGCCAGCAAAATAAAGAGCATAATGGTTCACTGCATCTTGTTCTGCATTCATATGCAATGTTCCTCCCCCATCACCGCTTTTTGAGAAGGCATAGAGAGTTTTCATGGTTGCTGAGGTTCTTATATCACTTTGCACTCATTTCTTTATTTTTAAAGGAGGAAGAAAGGTGCACAGAAGGCAGAAGTCTATCTACAAGGAGCACTGAAAACTTACCTTGCTGAGGGCTGGGCACTGCTTGTCACACACACAAGGAAACAGTTAGCTGAATGTCAGAAACACCTTGGGCAAATAGAAAAGTATCCTCTAAAAGGTGGAGCCAGAAAAATCGAGACTGAACAAAATTATACTTCTGATTATTTTTCTGATATCTCTCTAACTCTTATTTAACAGTAGAGACTGCCAAACATCAGACAGCTGAGTTATTCCTTGTTTCTGTTGTTGCTGTTCATTTGGGGAGGATCAGGTTATTTTTATTTTTTTTTTTTTTTTTTTAACATCTGGTTCACTTAAAACCTTTTGCATATGGCTTGTTGGTCTTAAGTCTAGGCTCTAGAGTGGTGAAACATGGGTAGTGTGAAGTTTGTTATTAGTACAGCAGATACCATAGAGGTTTTTTATGATTCTGTTTGTACTTCCATTGTTATGGAAGTTTTTACATGGTACTGGGTTTTTTTTTTTTTATTTGATAAATATGGCATTATATAGTGTCTTCCTATATTAAGAAGCTTAATTTCTGGGCTTACTTCTGTAACTGCTACCGCCTTTTCCTGCATCTGAACTGGCAAAGGCTCTTCTGGTATTTGTAATGGTGGCTTTCTCCAAAAGTTATAACAGAGGTTTAGAAGACTAAAATCTTTCGGGTTTGGTGTGGTGTTTTAATATTTTTTGCTATCATTAATTTTTATTTCTGGCTTTGATCTCTGCTTCAGAAGGGCAGTGGGAGTTGTTTACTTTTAAATCTTCAATGTGTGAATGAAATCTTCTCTGTAAATGCCACATAAATGCTAAGTAATACTTTGAGAGAATTATTTGGCCCAATCCTAATGTTTGACAGGCTTCAAATCCTTCACCTTGATACTGCCTGCATTATTTTCACACGCCAACTCTATCTGCTACAGCTGTATTTGTTTAAATACTAAATCTGTCTGCATTGCTGTACTATTGCTACTTTCAAGACGGGGGGGGGGGAAGGTCTACTGACTGGCCTTGGGTGTTTTGTTGTATGCTTTTTGACATTAGAAACAGCACAATTTGGATTCTGCTTTCATTTTAGCTTCATATGCTGTTGCATAAATTTGGCAGCTAAATTAAGTAACTTGGTTCTAGTCTGAACTGTTGTGCTGCGTGCAGGATATTATGTACTATAGCAAAATGGCAAATTTTCGTTATTTTTTTGTGTTTTGGGGGAAGGGTACTGCTTTCATTGGTGCCATAGTTATAAATGGAATTTCTCTAGGTGTTCCAGATTGGGGTGATTAGCTGAACAGAGTACTTTTGGCAGATCAGTTCTTGTGGAAATTGCAAGGAAAGACAGCTTTTTCTGAATGGTCCTTCTGGCTTTTTTTTTTATAGTTGTTGGGGGTTTTTTTGTTTTGCTTTTTTTTTTCTTTGCCTAAGAAGCTCGTATTTTAGTCTTGAAGTTACAGTACTAGGAATGTTATTGTAGCTGAAAATCAGTTGAGCTAAATTCAAATTTGTAGTGTATTTTGTGTTTTGTTCTTTTTTGTTTGGTTTTTTTTTTTTTTTTTAGAACTTAGACTTAGGCATTGTAAATGTTTGCCACCTTTTAAAATTCTTATGTCGCATTTAAACACTCTTAGATTGTTCTGCTTCAGTGCAAATGCTCTTAAAGATTCTGAGACAGTAATATTGCAGTCTTAGCTAACTACTTAAATTAGCATTTGTATCCCCAGCACTCAAAAGTATAAAGAAGTCTTATGACCTTGTTAAGGTAAGAGATGCTGCAACAGCTGGCAGATTCTCAGCCAAGTAAATTGGAATATAATCAAATACTCAAGTTTACTTGGTTTGAAATGTTGGGCAGTGTAATGCAACACAGTGGGTCTTTAACTTGCATGCTGCGTTTATCTGCTGTCAAATAATGAATTTTCTATGCTCAGTTATCTTTTCAGATGGGGGAAGACTGCGCAGGTTAATAATGGATGATATTTTAGTAGGTCTGCAAAAAGTAGAGATTATTCCATATTCTCAGATGATAGTAAATCTTCCATTGTTTCTGTTCTAATAGAAGACTTGACCTGTTCTTGTTTCCAGTCAAATTTCTGAACGTTGTAGGTTTCTACCTCATGTTTCCTTAACTTTGTTAGTTATCTTCAAACAAGCAGCCTTTTAGCTGGTGATAATCACTTAAGAGAAGATGAACGCAAAAGCTTTTGCCAAGAAATACTGAATTTTGCTAATCAGCAAGCAGAGAACCAAGGTAAGTCTGGTTCTTAAATACGTAAAACTTAAGTTGCTGTAATCTGATCTTTTCCCGAAAGTAGATTGGAAGGCTTTTTCTGATTGTTTTCATTACCTTGTGTATAACTTCTGAACCAACCCAGTTCTTTTCTTGTCATCTCCAGCACATTTGTAAGACTTCTGCAATAATTAAGAATAGTCAAAGATAAAAGGGTAATTAATGTTTTCATGCTGAATACCAGAAAGTCTGTCTTTGTTTTCCTTCACTTACCTGTTTCTCTGCTTTGATAGCTCATAATTTATCTTGTGTTGGGTTTTTTTCAATTCCTGACTTGACTTTGTATCTCCATTGCTGGCATGCAGATAGCAGCTGTGTGATGTTAACTTATTTGGTTTTGATGTTAGATCTGTTCCCATCCACTTGCAGCTTATTATTTTGACCATCATCCCTCTTCTATTTATTCTTCTTGCTGCTTCAGTAATACCTTGCCCTCAGATATTAATCATAATGCAAAATCATATGGAATACTTCCTGTAGATCTGAAGACTGTTCATTTTTTATGCAGAAGTTTTTCTTGATGAATGGATGTACCATAAGTAATATGTTATTTTAGACTTGCTTCTTAATTAAGTTTTGATACTCCCTCAGTGTTTGTTGGGCTTTGGAATCTAGGAAAGAGAGTGAAAACACCATGTATGGTAAAGCTGATGGCTAAAGGGCACCAGTTTGATTATTAGTTTCTTAAACTTGTACTTGCTCTTAATTTATGTGCTCTGGGAATTTTGTCACTTTATGTTACTGTGTTAATCTAGAACGCTTTATGTAGTAGTGAAATGTTAAACTTCTGCTTAGATACTGTCACTTAGTTTAGTTGTCTTTAATAAACCGAGTAGTAAAATTGTAGTAGATGTAACTGTCAGAAAACAAAACTGCGTATTTAAGTCTCATTTCTGTGCAAGACAAAGCTAAAATATGGAAGTAATGATTTGTTGTGAAAGGATTCCTTGTGAAAAGTTGTTGATCTGTTTAATTCTAGGGATTAAATTTTTAAGAGAAAAGATTTGCTGATCTCCAGTAGCACTGGAAAAGAATAAAATCCCTGTTTTTATCTTTCCAGGTCAAAAGGTTATATTGCCTATGCACTCCTTTGCACAGTTGAAAACTCTGCATTTTGATCCTGCAAATGCTGTTGTCCACGTGGGTGGAAGGTTGTCTATTGAGTTGGCTTTGCTGAGCCAAATGCCCATCCCTGTCCAAGTGGATCAGATTGCAATCCATGTTCACTTCAGCGTTGAAAAAAACAGTTACAGAAAAACAGCTGAGTGGCTCACTAAGCACAAAACTTCCAATGGTGTTATCAGCTTTCCAAATGAAGTTGCAGGCTTTCCTTTGTCAAGAAACAACTTGCCAGCACTGGAGCTGTATGAAATGTATGAACGGAGTCCCTCAGATAACTCTTTGAACAAGCAAGAGAGCAGCAGTTCACTGGATATGCCCTCAGGAGTGACTTTAGAAGATGGGGCTCACGTGTTGAAGTGCAACAACTTAATACTGGAACCAGGGGTCAATAAAATAACATTCAATACTCAGGTATGTTTTTATAGTTGAGTGAATGTAGCACTCGTGAAAGAAGAACTAAAAGCACTGGCTGAGGAAGAGCATAGTGCTGGCAAGTGGTACCTGTCTTGCTTCCTGTTACAGCTTGGGTGATGCCATTCCCTTGGTGGCTTTCTTTTCATTGGTCTACACCTTAATTTCCCTTGAAAGAAGGCTATTGTGTTTGTGCCAAAATATACAGGTGACTCTCCTATTTGCAATCATTTGAGTTAGCCTTCCAAAACTTAAACATCTTGATTATTGCTGTCGAAAATTAAACCGATAAATTCTTATACAAGATAATGCACTGCTCATGAAGTCTGCCTTCGCTGTTGAGCTCACTGAGAATAATGTTTAAAAAATTTGATGGGAATGCATTTTCTAACCCTTAGTAAAAGTGACTGTGTGGTTAAATTTGCTTGATAGCCTGTTGTTCACTGTGGAGGGTGATAGACTATTTTTTCAACTAGTGGATGTAGTAAACCTACCTGCAAGAAGTATGAAAAAGTTAAGCTCAGCTTCAAATATTTGAATTTAGAAGATGTCAGAATTAGAATTGCCCCCGTTATTCATCTTAATCACATAAAGAATGAGAAGACAAGAACATAAGGATTCTCTGCTATGGGAAGACTAAATCTGCATGAGCAGACACCTGTGAAAATAGTGTCACTATCTAAATGCCACCCTCAGAAAATGGATTACAGTCCTGTTTCTGCCGTATAGTGTTGTGTATGAAACTCCTCAATTCCCAACTTGCACATATACTCCAAATCATCTTAATACTTGGAGTAACCCTTCTTTTTTTCCCCCCTCCCATTCTTCCTCCAGCAAGCTAAGTACTCCCAGTAATTGCTGAAATATTTAAGGGCAGTAGTGCTTATCACTTCTGTTCACATTGAGTTACTACTGGATGCATAGCAACTGGAAATTGGCAGGCCTTTAGTAGCCATCCTCTTGGGCGGGGGTTGTGTTTTTGTGGTTTTGTGTAACTGCCACTCATTCCGTGGCCTTGTACTTTGCTGATCTGTGGCTTGTTTGCTTGTTTTAATGAAATGGGGAAAAGCATTTACCTGCTGACTTTAGTCCTAGCAAGTGAAGTGCCAAACATTTTCAAAAGCAAGACTTCACCATCTGTTTGGCATTCCAGGAGTAGGAGCTTCTGGCCTCAATTATCATGGTATTCTGTTCTTCGGGTTTCTTTAAGCACTTTCTATCTCCCTCCCCACCTCTGTAACCCTTCATAGGGAAGTATTCAGTAGAGTTCAGTGCTACAGTAATGAATGTCAGAGTAGGGAAAATTTGAGTGAGTGAACTCTGAGAAATTCAATGCAGCATCTGAATGATTAACAGGAGATGGGGCAGCACAATGAGGAATACAACAGGTCTTTCACAGCTGCTTTGTTTTCTGAGCATTATCCAGCCTGTCTGTTGGAAAGGATAGGGATGGTATGAAGAGACAGTGTTCTGCAGTCACATACGGTATATATGCCTGCTAGCTTTGCTATTTTCTAATTGATTTAAATTAGCTTTGGTCCCTCTTTGGTCCCTTTTTTTAAACTAATTTTGAAATAAGAATCTATGTATCTGCTTTTCATGACTAAAAACTGGTAGGTAGGCAGAGCTAGACAGGAGGTTTCTTTAGCGTTGTTAGCATATTTTAGGTGTCATGTCTTGTCATAGAACTTTGTTTAGAGTGAAGCTTTCTATAGGCTTACATACTCCACCTTCCTATTCCTCCAGCGCTGGGGCAGAAAGCACTAGAGATGTGCTTGGTGCATGTGCACACGCACATTGTGGAACCTGTGTGGATAGCAGGTATCTCAAGATGGAAGTTGAGTTCAAGTCCCTGATGATACAACGTGAAATGGCAATAATATAATTTGAACTACCTACTGACCTAATTCAGGTTTCTTATTCTTTCAAAGGACTGGAACAAGTTACTGGGATTTGGAAATGTCAGAGGTGCAAATGTAGTTTTCTGGAAAAGAAATTAACGTGTATGTAGAACTGGACTTCAGGTGAAGGAGCCTTACTAGAAGAAAGCTGTTAGAGATGGTTCTGAGCTGGCATTTTGGCTTAGTGGGATCAGGAAGCAATCTGAAACCGTGGAAGAAGAGATATGGCTAAAAAGCTAGATATAGGTCTGCTTTAAATTTGCCTTGTTCTGCATGTTTCTGGTGGCTATTGGAGGATGAACAGCTTTACGCTTATAACTTTCGTATTTTCCCAACCTTGCTTTCTTGAAACAACTTTGCATGGGAAGACTACTTCTCTTTTTATAAAGTGGTTCAAAGCATGACTTATCTGTCCTTAGAGGGAAAATCTGAATATAATTTGACAGTGTATCACTAGATAACATGATGAAAGCTTCTCTAGAGTTGAGCAGCAGTGTTTACAAAATATTTACCAAAAATCTGTTATTATTGTAGTAGTATACTGCATCACTTCTACTGGATTACACAGCTGGCCAGAGGATAGAAACTGCTGACAACTTGTGTTCTAAATTTTCTTACAGTAATACTTAATTGCACTACTTTTGCAGAAAGAGGAATGACTATGCTTCTAAGATGCAGAGGGAGTTTGATTCTTTCTGCAGATCTTAGACTGTTGATTAGCGTTATTTATGTTGATAGCAATCTTCCGGTGTATTTTTTCAAGCTTTAAAAGATATCAGAAAGCATTATCTAAATTCTTCAGACCGATATTCCCATCCCATGTTGAGGTTTAAAGTATGCATATATTATGAAAGGCTTTACTCCTGCTTTTCTGTTTATGAAGTATTCAAGGGATAAAATGTAGCGACTCTAATGTCAAAATGCATAATACTGAATTTCAGTGAGGATTTGCTTTGTAAATAGCTGTGTAAGTGAGGTTTGAATGTTAAGTTGTTACACCTTTTCTCCATAACTTCTCATATGATTCTTTAGATTTAATTATACCCAGCATCAATATTTATGTGTTACACTTGGTAAAATGGCATGTGGAAAAAGAAAACACGTACCATTCCCTAGCAGTAGTAGCTAGGAGCAAATAGCTAGTGGATGTTACAGATTTGCTTTTTATAATGTTACCAAAAAACATCCAGAATCCCATTATTCAAGGTAAGGGAAGAGTTTGAAATTAAATATGTATGTATTACTTTTTTGTAAGCATTCATGCAGGGTGCGAGGAGTGTGTGAAGTCGATAGCTTGAGCTGAAAGCTGTGCCTTATATAAATGTTGTAGGATTTTATGAATGTTAGCCAAATAAGCACTTCACTGCTTGCTAAATTTCATTTCAGTACTTAATAAATATAATTATATTTTAATGTATGTGGCACTCGAAGGGAGAAAAAAACTCCAACAAACAGGACAAAAAGCACCCCAAAATAACAATTTGACAGCACAGCTACTATATTAGTTATTCTGATTATTGCTGCTTGTTACTTTTGATGTTTTTTCTTGAATCAGCCAGCACTCCAAAGCTTCTGTCTTAATGGGGAAAAAGGTGCTCCCTTTGTGAAAATGTTGTTACTTGCTCAGAGAACAAGTCTGTCATTTAACTTACAAATGCAAAGTAGCTGATAAAAATGAGCTGAAAACATGCTGTTCTTTAGTAGAGGGTTTGTTCCAGAAGTATTTTCTAAATTGAAAAATCCACTCCAATGTTTTCTTCAAAGGCCAAAGAACCTGGGACGTACACGCTCAGGCAGCTGTGCACTTCAGTGGGGAAAGTACAGTTTGTTCTTCTTCATATTTACCCGATTGTGCAGTACGATGTATATTCTCAGGAGCCCCAGCTAAAAGTGGAACCGATGACTGGTAGGTACAGTTGCTGTGCTGAAGTGGTTTTGATGGTTTCTGTTGTACTCTCGTGGGACTAGATAAAGCATTTTCTGGCTTGAACATTACTCCAAGGGTTTGGGGTTTTTTTTGCCTTACTCTCAATTTTGAGTGTAAAATAAATTCCCACTTTTGAAATTATCCATCAAGTATGCTCTGTCAATAATGGCTAGTTTTCAACAAATAATTCCAGTGCTTGGCTCTGAAACATGTAGTGTCACTTTTGAACATGAATTTGAACATGTAGTGTCACATAAATATCAGGTATGATTTGAGCTGCCACACTGATTAGAAGTGAATATTTAAATTTGTAATCGAGCTTGTTATTGGTTAGTTTTGTGACACTGCAGTCTCTTTGGTATTTACAAGGAATGTGTAAGAACTGGGGCTCTCTACTAGAGGAGATGATATAAATTTACTAAATTTAATACTGAATACATCCATTGGTTTCATGGATGGCTGTGCGTTACTTGTTGTAGAGGTTATTAAAGTTTATAGGTGGGAGTTAATAGTGATTTTGTTTTCAGGCTATCAACTGAGGCAGTTGAGGAGTTAATATGCATTTTGTGCTATCATTCCAGTTACAGGGGTTGCAATGTGTGGCAAAGGAAGGACAGGCATTTGGGGCACTAATCAAATTAGCTGCCCCTATGAAATTGATGGTTGTGATTCATATATTTGAGAGTCTGTGTGCATACTGGCACTCTTGTTATCTTGATTATGTAGATGCAGCATGTGGGTAGGACTGGCATTATAGGTGCAAAACCATAAAGCTGTCTACAACCTGGAGAACTTAACAAAAAGCTTAGTAAATTCTTCAGGGTTACTGTATTTCACTGAATTCTGTGCTGCCAGAGCTACACAGTATGTGAGCCAGCTAGCCTAAGCCATCCAAGAAACAGTGGGTTTGGTCGCTCAAGTTGAAATAACCAATTTCTCCACACCAATATATCTGAACTAGGTTTAATGTGTTGCATAACATCAAACCCCCATGCTTTTAATTACCCTAATATGTGTGACAAATTGCCTGGGAATATTGCTAACAAGCCTTAGCAGTGCATTATAACCATCTACTGATGAGTGCTGGAATCTGTTAACAATTTCTGCTTTCTTCTTCAGATAGCCTTTTGGCTGGCATTCCCCAAAAGGTGAAATTCACAGTGACTACTGGTCACTACACTATGAAGAATGGGGATACTTTGCAGCTCAGTAACGCAGATGCCATGCCTATTCTGTACCATCCAGAGAGCAAGGCAGTGATCTATTCCAACACAAGAGGTAAGCAATGAAGTAAAAATTAACAATCTTTAAATGGCTGAAAATTCAGTAATCCTGAAGTAAACCTGTACTTACAATATTAAACACACTGATGCTTTTTTGTTTTTTAATAGTTGTTATTAAGAACAGTTCTAAGGACTTGCAACTGGGTACTTCAGTGCAACTGAAGGTTTCATCGTCAAAGTAGTAGTATGAATTTTTCAGCAAACATAGCTGGACAAATTTTATTTTCAGTGATGAAATTCAGTAGGCATGGTGAAACTGCTGCTGAAGTGAGCATCTGTCGTGATTTCCAAGTGAATCATGGTGATCTTCTATTACTATGTGGGCTCTATTTTGACTAGACCATTTTTATTGTGAAGTAGTTGTAAGTAGGTTTTTACATAGTGCTACGTCTCTGTAAGTGGAGCATTTCCTTTGGCCAGTGTTTCATTTAAACAGATGACATCCTAATTTCTTTTTTGTGAGCATAAGTACTGTATAGTCTCCTCAGTTGCTCAAACACAAGCAACTTTCACATAAATGGGAAGAACAGTCATAACAGACTCGATGAAATTAAGATGAAAATAGACTATACAGAGGCACCCATGTGTAGTATTTTAAAGATAGATGATGAATGGTAACCAAAAATACTGATGCATGTGTGTTGAGAGTTGCAAGTTTGCTTCAAGTTAAATCATGAGACTAAGAAGGTACAGTATGTGGCAAAACCTTCAATAGATGTATGATGGACTAAAGTAGTTCATCTGGCTAGTTTGAAACTTCTTCTCAAATTGTGCTCTTGGTTCTTTCTTGAACATTGGAAGGGACTACTACTTGGAATGTGGTGGTACCTTCCTGCAGTTTATGAAGGATAGGGCGTTACTATTGGGAAGTTGTGAACGGCAGTGGTATTTAAGAAGTGTGGATTATAGCTCATTTGAAGAGGTTACCATGGGGTTATATAACATGTTTTCTCATTGCTGTTTTTGCAGAGATCTTGCTAGGAAGTGGTTATGGCACTATGTATTTTTGTATGATGCTTAGCTTTTTAGGCTAGTTTGATTGCTTACTTAGAGATTAAAATGAAAATTGGGAAGGGATGAACATGTTTTAAAAGTACTTTTTTCCCCATTCTCCGCAACTATAGAAAAGATCTCAGAATCATCATTAAGGATTCAATCTTCTGAAAAGATCACAAGCATCAGTTTGCCAGTAGCTCCTGCATATCATGTAATTGAATTTGAACTAGAAGTCATGTATTTGCCATCAGCCACAGAATCCGCAGTGGAGAAAGAAAATACTACAAATAAAGAAGTTCACAGAAAAAACAAAGAGAAGCAGAAACGGGACAACTGCATGGCTACTGTTGACCAAAAAGTAAGATGTAATCTAACTAGTTTTTATTATGAAACCTATTTGATCACATGGGCATACGCTTCACAAAATAGAAGTGGTGATGATGGGGGGTGGGGTGGTGACACCTGCTTGCATTGAAATAATTTTCCCTTGAAAGATGTAGCAAATTGTAGCAAATGTTATAAATGTAAAGAAAACACAAATATAAGCAGAAATATATACCATGTTTATTATATTGCCAACAGTTCCACTGGCTAGTAGTCTGAATTCTAATGTTCTAACACTCGCAGTTTATATAGGATGAAGAATACTCGTGTCTGTGTAAAAGGTGGTGTGGTGGTCTTTAAATTCTCCTTTCTGACTGGTATTTCTTCCACTTGCAAAGAATCTGTATACTGTGTTGAAGTACTTAACACTAGTGTTTCAATCTGTCACATTATTTAGTTGGAGGTAGTTTTTCCTCTTAATTTTAATTTCATTATGAAGGGTGAATAAAATAAATAGTACGGAAAGAAGCTCTTCAGCTGACAGCAAAATGATCTTGAAACCATCACCTTTCATAGTGTTACTCCTTGTTAAAATTGACCAACTGTGCTGCCATGTGTCTTTGTGTGTGAAGAGTTGGGTAAAAAAGAACAGCCATAGACTAGCATTGCTAAAATGGGGTGTGATAAAACATTTCTTTATTTTCCTCTGCATTTAAAAATATGTTGCTAAATATATATGCTTTACAATTGGAAGAATGGCAGCATTCACTTCAGGAGAAATTCTTCAGTTAAGTGTGCTGCTTCAAGTTAAAACAAATACACATTAAATACATTTTTTAAAATATTTTGAGCTTGTAATTAATATAGTATTATAAAAACATTTTAGTAATAGCATTTATAGCAATTTATTTGATACTGACCTTTTACCGGATTATTGTATTAAGATGATACTGGTATTGTTAGTGTTCTTTTATCTTTTCTTTCTTCTGTTCCCTTCCCTTTATTTTTAGTCTTCAGAAGTGGGTATGTCAGCTTCCACAGGAAAAGCTTCTTCGAGATTTCATATCCTGCTCACAGGAAAACAAAACCTAATATTCTGTCAGATTAGTTTTTGACATACTGATTTTTTTTTTTTTTTAGGATTTTTTTTCTTCTTCCCCTTCTGGATGCATTAGATGTAGACATGTGCTGAGAAAAGTTTTGCTTAGAAATGAGAAGAAAAGCAAAATTGTTATGCCAAAACCACTTATGAATAAGAACTTTCTTCTCTTTTTCCTTTAGGTAACCATTGATTGTCCTTGGTCAATTTACTCCACTATTATTGCATTAACGTTCTGCATACCTTTTAATGCCAAGCATTCCTTATTGTCAGCTGGCAAACGGTAATTTACTCATTAAGTATTTATTGCTTCTGTCTTACAAAATATGGAGCTGGAGTTTCATAAGTAATATTTATAGCAGCCTTTTTTTTTAAGTTGGGCTTTTGTTATCTTACAAAGCTTTCCATTGGAAGCTTGTGCATTTCCTCTAGTGTTCTTTCATACAATAAAACAAACCTGTGGTTTCAGCTATTTTGGAAATAAGACCACAAGATAAACCAAGCTAGCCTATTTCTGTGTAGTTATTTGTTTTCATTTAATATGAAAGAGGATGCTTTACAGCCTTGTTTCTACAGACTTGTACGTGTTGAGGAAAAGACTGAAAGAAACAAATATACCTGTCATTCTGTTTTTGCTTGAGCTGTGCACTTTGAAAACAATTTTATGGTTACTCTTACTCAATAGTTACTCTTCCAACGTAACTATTCAACTTTTGTTGAACAAACTGTGTCATGTTTTTCAGGAAATATGTGCAAGTCTGTGTACAGAATTTGTCAGAACTCTGTTTCCAGCTTTCAGACAACAGCCTAAAAAATACTGCTGACTGTACAGATTTGCAGCTGGTACCTCTGAACCCTGAATCTCAACAGGTAAAGATTCACTTGCTGGTTTATGAGCTCATTGGCAGGACAGCTAGATGAAAGTTCTTGCTAGTGAAATTATTAGTACTTCTGCTCATAGATTTTGTAGTAAGTAAGGCTGATAGCTGATGTTAGGTCAGTCCTTGGCAGTCCTCTGAGTAACTTTGATTCTTAAAGATGCTTTAGAAGGCATTTACACCTGTAGATCTTGAATAAAATATTTTTCACACATACTTGAATGTGAAGTGTTCCCTTTTGAAACATTGATTCTGACAGTGAAATGTATCCCTCCTATTCATTAGATGTACATTGTTTAAAAAAAAAAAATCACTATTAGTTATTTTGGTTGCATGTTTTCCTTAATGATTTATTTAGCACTAAACAGGTGATTTATTTTTGAAAGCTGTATTAATGCCAGAACAGACAAACATATGTATGTGCATTTCCACTTCTTTCTCAGAGGAAGGAAGGAGCTAATACTATAAACATTCTCTTTCAGGTCATATACAGTAAGCAATCAATATTCTTTGTATGGGAATTGAAGTGGACAAAAGAGCTTCCTATCTCCTTGCAGTGCCTGTTTTCAGTCAGCTTTTGTCCAGCTACCTCTGAAGAACAGTCTCTTACCCTGAAGCCGTTCACGTACGAATTCCAAGTGGAAAATTTTTTTGTAAGTACCCTTCTAAGTATAGCATATGTTAACTGAATGTGGTTTCCTAATATATGGAAAGGGGAAGTCAAGAAATATAGTAGAATACTTCTGTTTACATAATGAGATTGACACCTACGTAGACTCATTGGAAAGCCAGTTTGCTGAATGACAGAACTGAAGCCTGATATGGCGGAATCGTACACTTGGAATGGGGTGGGGGGGAACAACACTTGTGAGAGCGTCCTTGATCTTGTTTCATTTTTTTTCTGTGTTTTTGTCTTCCTGGGCTTGTGCCATGGAGACTGTACTTAGATTACTGAACTGCTTTTTCCCTGCTGGCTTAGGACTGCGCTCCCCAAAGCAAACTGTAATTTCAAAAAAATCTTTGCTATTGACAGCATTTGAGTTGGTTTCTGTAGTGCTTGAGATGAGCTCCTCTAATGAAATATTTAGGGTTTTCTAAGCCATTATCTTAAATGTTTCTTCTTTCCCTTTATGGACAAAATTTTTATTCCTTTGATCAGCTAGGAAGCATATAGGCTAGATAGAATTCCCTTAATAGGAAGTTATATCAACGTTATTTAATCTCATCTGTAAATTCAGTCTTGTGTTACCCTTTTTGATGCTTGGGTAAAAAGTAGCAACATGAGAAGACTGTCATTTGATGAAACCCTTTTGTCTGCTTTCGGTGTTGCTATGTTTTCTACCCACTTATTACAAACTGGCATTGAGCAATATTTTGGGTATTTGTTCACCTCCTGGTTACATAACTATCGTTTGTTGGTACCTGTTTCAGCATCTTTCTGGAGTTTTTAAAGAGAACTAATTGTGTTAAACAGTGGGGGGGCTTGGTAGAAATTTAATTTTGTATTAATTAAAAATTAGCTCCTTGATAATGTGAGCACCGTTATTCTGGGGACTATGATGGTAAGAGTCATGAAGTCGTTCTCCTGTATTACTCAGAATTTGAGTGATGTGTCTGGGAAGTGAGGCGCCAAGAAATTAGTAAAAGTTTGTTTAAATAGTATGAAGATGGTTATCCATTTAGGAGCATTGAAAGGCAGAGTTAAAGCACAGACGTGGAGGGAAAAATGGTGTGCTTGCTGTTGGTATCAAAACCAGATTGAATCGAATTTGGGTTGCTTATTTTCTCAAACTGAGCAAGATAACAAAGCGAAGATTACTTATAACTCAATCTTGCATTAAAAAGATTTAATGGATGTTAAATGTAAAGTTAAGTTTGTACTGTATCAGTTTTGTCCAGATCAGTTTAAACACAAGTAAAACACCCCTTTTTTCTTGATAACAGCACTGTTTTCTTCCTGACAGACATTGTATCATGTGAAAACTGAGATTTTTCCACCACTGGGGGCAGAGTATTGTAAAACTGGCTCACTCTGCTCTTTAGAGGTGTCAATTACCCGACTGGTTGACCTCTCGGAGGTTGACAGAGATGAAGCATTAACAGAATCAGATGGATATTGCACAACAAAACTTATGTATGAAGGTAAGAATATTTTTTCTTAAGCGTATTGACAAAATTCCCCAGTTTTGTCTTCATAATGACATCTGCCAGACTTTCTGTGGCATATATTCCTGTATTGTGAGTATGGCTGCTCAGTACAGCAGTTTTCATTTTGCTAGGCTTGAGAATATTTTATTTTTTCCTCATTAGTCTGTCTTCAAGTGGAACATAAATGCCGTTCAGACTGGATGGATACTTGCTTGAAGCCCAACTATGGTCCCTTTTGTGTAGGGCTGTTTCCTTACCTTGCACAGCTCTTCACACATACAAGCTGGTGGGCTTTTAGATGTTGCTAAAATACAGATTTTTTTTTTTTTTTTTAAGTGCTCTAAAACTATACTGAGGGCTCTTCATTTTTCAGAAAAGATCTTTATAGTGTTTTCTCTGTATTCTTGCAGTTGTTGACAACAGTAGTAACTGGGCAGTCTGTGGAAAAAGTTCTGGAGTGATATCCATGCCTGTAGCAGCTCGAGCAACTCACAAAGTCCACATGGAAGTGATGCCACTGTTTGCTGGATATCTACCTTTCCCTGATGTCAGATTGTTTAAATACCTCCCTCACCATTCTGCTCACTCCATGCAACTTGATGCTGGTAAAGCTATCTTGACTACACGGCTACTTACAGAAATGATTCTGCTTCTCCTGTGCTTTTGCGTAAAGAGAAAAGCAAGGCGAGGAAGTGTATTGACCAAGTACTCTTCAGTGTCTTTGTTACTTACCTTCACTCACAGTTCTGATTTGAAACTTATAAAATGTTGCTCTAATGGGAATGTTGGATTCAGGTTCCAGCCTTAATCTGTGAGGAGGAATAAAAAATACGTTGTTTTCTTATATTTTCTTTAAAGATTATTGTGCAAATTAGTTGTCACTGGCTTTATAATGAAGTGAAAACTATTTGATAACCCTATAATCCTGCGGTTTCATTGTCTGCAAACTGCACATCTGCTGTGTCTTTGTTAGCTTTTACATTCTTTCCCAATTTTTGAAAGGACTAAGTAGGAAATAAGAGATTTGTGGCATATAACCAGATTAGATGAAAAGTTTAAATTGCCACAGCTACTTACGAGTATTTACCTGCACTGCTGAGTAGTGCCAGCACTGTAGTGAGAACTCGCTTGTGCAGCAACTTACCGTTTGTCAGCAGAGCTCCAGGAACTGCCAGTGTGCACCCTTCTAGCCTGTGACATATGTGAGGTACCACTACTTAAATTTCCCTTAGAAACCCATATAATTGACTCTGCTACATCTGCTGCTGGCCAAAAACGTGCATAGACTGTTACCTCAGCAGAGATGATAATTGAAGTATAGGGGTTTGTTCCTATACCTGCTAAAGCCAGTAGAAAAGATCGATGCTTTTCATGATTCAAAACCTTTTTTACCAGGTACAAGGAAGAGTTCTCCTTTGTTAGTTCTAACTGGATGCTGGTAATCACTGAGAGACACCAGATTTTTCCAGTGACGGTTTCAGAAATAATGGAAGAAGAACTCTGAACAACCTGATGTGGTTAGCAGTGTCCCTGCTCACTGCAGGGGGGTTGGACTAGATGACCTCTAGGGGTGCCTTCCAACCCAAAACATTCTATGATTCTATGATCAGTAAGTTGACTGTGCGTCTGAGCTCTGAAATAATTTTTAAGTTGCTTAATCACTCCGTAGAATGAAACTGTGGGTTTTTTATTTTAAACAGATAGCTGGATTGAAAACGATAACCTATCTGTGGACAAGAATGTGGATGATCAAGCTGACAGCAGCAGCATAAGGAGCAGAGGTAGCTTGCATTCTGCAGCTAGCGGGGAACACAAAGGTTTGCCAATGCCCCGTCTGCAATCCTTTTCATCCGGTCAGGTCTTCAACTGCAGCACGGCTATGCAAATACTTGTCATTCCCAGCAAGGACGACCATGTTCTGGAAGTCAATATCACGTGACGACTTGGTAGGAAAACAAGGAAAACAAAAACCATTAGAAACTGGATATGAAAGCACTTTAAAGGATTATGACCGGATTAGTCTTTGTTGTAACACTCTAACTCTAAGGAGACCTATGGCACTCAACATGTACTGGCCATGGAAGCACCAGACAATTGTATCAATTTAAATGTACAGTGAAGCTTGTGTCAGCTAGTTTATATTGCCACTTTAGTATGTTTGTGTAAGCTACTGGGTTTTCTCCCTTCGGTCGCATCCTGCATCACAACACAGGGCAACAAAAACAAAAAAATCCAAATATTTGGACCACACTATTTTTGTCTGGCAGCTGAGACATTTGTTTCATGCTTCCTCATGTTTTAGAATTTAGCGTTGGATGATGTAATTATCCAAATCTTGGATTTTTATGTAATAATTTACAGGCTTTTCCACACATGTGCCAGAAACACAACAAAGCATACAACAGCACATTCACTGGTGTAATAGTTGCTTTTCTGTTGGTTTTTTTTTTTTGTTTTATCATTGTTAATTCCTGCCATTGCAATTTTATATTAAACTTCCATTGTTTGCATACTTCAATGCACGGAAGAGCTACTGCTATAAATAATCTTAACTGAACAAAATTCCTTAATTTTTTGAGGCTTTCTCCTTCACAGAGTAGACACTGTGATGTCACATATTATATGATTTTTTTGGGGGTGGGGTTTGGGTCATCTTCTTGCATAGTTCTTACCAAAGAAAGATATCGATAGAATTTAATAATAAATTATTTGGCTTACAGAGTTCCCAGATTAATTTCTTTTATTACCATTTCTAAGTGGCTTGGTTTGCTGCCCTAATTTTTAAATTGGGGCAAAAATTTCAGTATGATGTGATACTTGAACGGTCAACCTTTCATCATAAAGGCTTAGTGTAATTATTACTGATTAGAGGCCAGACTTCCGCATTCATGATGGAAGAAAGAGGTTGGTTTGATACAGGAAGGCTTGCAGATGTAGAATAATTGTGAAGCAAAGTTAAAACATGTAACTTAAAGAATTTCATTATTTATATCTGAAATGTAAATACAAAAAAAATGTAAAAGAAAAAAGTGTAATTTTTGTGAATGTTGCAAATCCACCTGTGACTGGAAAAATTACAACTCCTTCTGATGTCCTGCTTCTGATATTGAAACTTGTGCATTTAATGTGAGAATGACCTTTTCTACTTGCAGATCTGTAATGGTGCGTTGTCAACAGACTCCACAGAGGAAAACTGTCCCATATCAAATACTTGTCGGTAAAGCTAAAGTGAGGAACTGCTCTTTAGACAAGTTTATTGTTATTTTTTCTAAACTCAGGTTCCGCTAAATTGTAAAGGGGAAGAAAAAACAAACCCTCTGTCTGAAAAGAATTGCAATTAAGTTGAAAAATGAATAGGCACCCTGCACTAGTCTAAACATTTTTTTAAATTATTTTTATTTTAAAAAACCAATGTCTAAATAGATGTATAATGTAGACCTGCTAGCTGAAAATGTTCTTGTTCTGCATCTTCTTTCTGTGAAGGAATGCCCTTTCTCTGTGGAAATCATACCATTTTATTTTGGATAACCCCCAAAGCATCATTTAGTGCGAATGAGTGCTGGGATTCTTTGACTGGAAAAGGTAACAAGTGAAGTGACTTTGACACTGCAGGTATTATAATTAATTTCATTTTCATGGTTTGCTATTAAATCATTTTTCACATTGTTCTGTAATATACTGTTAGATTAAAGACATTGTACTAAGATTGTTTAATGAAATTGTAAGCGTTGCAGTTCTAAATATACATGTTTTAAAAAGAAATCCACCTTCTCTGCCGCCCTGACTTGTCCTCTTTTCCTTTCCTTTAAAGGAGTGATTGTGCCATCGATTTTAGCCAAAGTTTCTTCCACGAAAAAATATTTTTTTAAACTTAAGTTAAGGGGACCTATTCCCAGTACTGGCCTAAAGCACGCTTGCCGGCTGTCCGACGGGGGTTGCCACTTTCTGGAGGAGAGCTGCCCCGCGGCCGCTGCTGCTGCTTAGGCTTCATCGCGGCACCCCGACGGGCACCC